ATGTTAGAAAAGCATATGCACCTATCTTATTAAATATTCCTTGAAAAACAAAACTGTATCCCAGACAAGCAAAAGCTAAAAGAGATCATCACCACTAAACAGGCAATAAAAGAAATGTTAAAGGAACTTCTTAAATTGGAAAAGAAAAGGCCAAGACTAAAAATAAGAAAATATTGGAAAGAAAACAATCTCACTGATAAAGGCAAACATTTAGTAAATGTAGTGGATCAAACAATAATAAAACTAGTATGAAGGTTAAAAAACAAGAGTAATAAAAGCACGTATAACTACAGTAATACATTAAGGGATACACACACACACACTGTAAAATATGTCAAAACCAACATTGGGGTGAGTGAAAAAGTAGTGATTTTAGAATGCATTTGAACTTAAGTGACCATGAACTTAAAATAGCTTGTTATGTACGAATCTTATGGCAACTCCAAACCAAAAATCTATAATAGATACACAAAAAGTAAAGAAAAAAGGAACCCAAACAAATCACTAAAGAAAGTTATCAACATACAAGAAAAGAAAGCAAGGAGGAACAGAGAAGAACTACAAAATAATAATAAAATAATAATAATTTTAAAAATAGCAATAAGTAAATACCTATCTATAATCTATAATTGTTTTATTACTCTGCCATAAAAAAAGAATGAAATCTTGCCATTTGCAACAACATGGATGGACCTAGAGAATATTATGTTAAGTGAAATAAGTCTGACAGAGAAAGACAAATACCATATGATTTCACTTATATGTGAAATCTAAAAAACAAAAACAAATAAACAAAACAAAACAGAAGCAAACTCATAGATACAGAGAACAAACTGATGATTGCCAGAGGGAGCGGGTAGGGATTGGGCAAAAAAGGGGAAGGGGATTAAGAAGTACAAACTTTCAGTTATGAAGTAAGTGACAGGGATGTAATGTATAGCATAGGGAATAGAGTCAATAATTTTATAATAACTATGTACAATGACCAATGGTTACTAGTCTTACCATGGTGATCACTTTGTAAGGTACATAAATGTTGAATCATTATGTCGTGCACCTGAAATGAATATAATATTGTATTTAAACTATAATTAAGAATAAATTTTTTAATTGGAAGAATGTGTACTGAAAAAACTATAACTAGCCCTAGCCCCAATGCTTTTGTTACATATGAAAAACGAATGAGGGGTTGGCACTCAGATCCTTTTATTCTTTAGAACTGTCTTCCTTGCCTGCTCTCCCAATGCCCCCTCCACGTTTTTACTTTGGCAATCTTTGACCCACATGCTTTAACCCAAATGGTAAGTGTAGTTCAGAAAAAGGTAAAAAGGTTGCTTTCAAATGCTCATGATACAGTCACAAAAATCACCTGCAAGACGCCCATGTGGATCTCCTGCAGAAAGGCAAATGAACTTCTGAATCCAGTGGGTTTGTCACTGGCCGAGGCAAATTTATGACTTTCTTTACATTGGCACAAGTGAACATTGCCTCCAAGTAGAAGGAACAGGGAACTATATGGGTGAAAACATTCCCCCAAAAGAATCTTTCTTCCTTAAGGGGCATGGTGGGGATTGTTAGAATAATCGAGGGGGCCCCCAGGGTAAGGGGGTTGATTCCCAGATGATGACCCTGTGCAAGACTCTTAACTTATCTAGGACTTCAGTTTCCTCATCTGTAAAATGAAGATAATAATGCTAGTCTCCTGTGGCTGCTATGAGGATTAAATGAGGAACTAAATAAATGTGAAATGCTCAGTACCATGCCTGGCTCATCATATGTGCCAGCAAAGTGTATTGTATAAAATGATGCATTCATTTGACAAATGTTATTGCCATATAAAGTGCTAGAGAAAGCAAGGTGGAAAAACAGAGCAGCCTCTGCCCTATGGTGCTTACAGACTAGTTGGGGAGGCAGATGGTCATGGTGAAAGCACATGAATAAAGAATTACAAATAACGCTATGTGCCAAGAAGGAAAAGTCCACAGAACTGAAAGAACATATAACCAGGGGCATCTGGTCTAGTCCCTTTTTTACCCAGGCGAGGTGACTATGGGTGGAATAGAATGTTTCTGTTTTTCTTTTAGTGACATGAGGATCCTTCACATGTACATTATGCTGAACATTTTGTGAAGAACTTTTCATAGTTGAGGTTTTCATATGATCCTCTCACCAGATCCTAAGCAGAGATTATAACCCTCATTTTGCAGAAGTGGAAACTAAGGTGTAAAGAGGTTATACAACTTCCTCAAGGCCAGATAACTCACGGATAGCAAATCCAGAGGTCAGACAAAACCCAGAGGTCTTTTGCTTCCATAGCTATTGCTTTTTCACTATCTCTTTTTCTTTTTGTATTTTTGATTCTGAAATATAGCATGCTTTTTCAAAATGTTGAAATACAGCTTACTTACAAAAAGAGTGTGGGGAAATACATATGTATGGTTTAAAGAACACCCATTAGCTACCACCCACCCAAGGAACAGATTTTAACACAGCCCAGAGATCCCCTATGTGACTTTCCCCAGAAGTAATCCCTATGCTTACCTTTTTAAAGGTTGTTTGTTTTTTTTTTATCATTTATGTATCTCTTAATATATTATTGCTTTTCCTGGTGTTGAACTTTATATAAATGGCATCTTAGTTTATGTGTTATTCTGTAACTTCTTACTCTCCACATTTTGTTTTTGAGATTGATAGCTATACTTATAATTCATTTTCACAGAAAAATAATATTCTACTTTGTACATTTATTTTACCACATTTATTTATGTATTCCCCTGTTAACAGACACTGGGTTATTTCCAGTGTCTTGCTGCTATAGTTATTTTTTTAAGGGAAGATAAATAGCTTTGTTTTTATAAAAAATTTTCCAAGAATGTTATGTTTTGTTAATTTAAATTCTAGTCCCTATATCCACATTAACAGTACTGTTTGGTTCTATCATTTATTTTAAGTTTACCATCAGCCAGGAACTGTATTAGGTGCTTTACACACATTTTAAAATTTAATTCTCATAACATTCCTATCTGATATGTATTATCTTCAGGTGAAAGGATTATTTTATAAGCAATGAAACTGAGGTTAGTAGAAGTTAAACAATTCTCCCAAGGTCATTAGGTGGGCCAAGATTGCAACTCAGTCTAATTCTAATGTTCAAGTTCCTTCCAATTCACTCCATGCCTTAATACTGTGTTGTGCATTAATAAAAACCAAATGTAATGATGTACTATAAGATCTATAGGTATCTCCTATTTTTTAAATATTTTTGTGGCAAAATACACAGCATAAAATTTACCATCTTAACCATTAGTGTTGACTACATTCCTATTGTTGTGTGATTCATCTCCAGAACTCGTACATTCTGTACATATCTCCTGGGGTACATGCATTCCTATTGTTGTGTGATTCATCTCCAGAACTCTTACATTCTGTATCTCCTGGGGTACATGCGCAGGATTTCTTCTAGGGCATGTCCTATCAGTAGAACTGCTGAGGCATTCCACCTGTGGGTGGAATGCATGGGATTCCATATGTTCAACTTTATCAGTTAAGGTCAAACATTTTTCCAAAATGGTTGCACCAATTTATACTCTCACGGGAAGTTACTTTTTAAAAGTATGTAATACATTCATATATTTAAAAATGTTCTTTTTAAAGTTCCAAATGTTAAAGGAACAAAAGGACAATAAAAGGAAAAATCTTCCATCCCTTAAGCACATCATTCCCTCCCTGGAGCAATCGATATTATCAGTTTCTGGTGATCATCCTTCCAGAAATATGCTATCACATATACTTCTCCCTTTTACAACAAATAGTAAGTAGCATTCTATCCACACTGTTCTGAAGCTTGCTTATTTCTCTTAACAAACATCATAGGCAATATAACCTGATGTTCTCTGGAGCAGATTGTTTGGATGTATATTCGGCTACACGCTAAGCTGGCTTTAACCTTGAATAGGTCATTTAATCTCTTTGTGCCTTATATTCCTTATTTGTAAGGTGTGGAAAGAATCCTAACTCAAGATTTTATGAAATTAAATTAGTTAATATATGTAAAGCATTTAGAACTGTGCCTATCAGAACTGTAACTATTATTAATATAATTATATCAGTGTTTCCTCCTTATTTTTTATGGTTGCTTGGTAGCTTGTTATATAAATGTATAACAATTTATTTAAATCATAACATAAACATTTACGTTGATTCCAGTATGTTGATATTCCAAACAGCACAGCAATAAAAAACATATTTCTCACTCATTCTGGTAGGATAAAGTCCTAGAATTGGAACTGCTGGATCAAAGGTATTATGTGTAGTTATAATTTTAATAGACATTGGCAAACTGCCCTTCATGGGTACATCACAGATTCTCATTTGTATTAACTTAAAGAGATATAGAAACTTCAGAACAGAACGGATCTAGGTAAACTACTTTGTTGTTCAGATGAGTCAAGTAAAGCGGAGAAAAGGGAACGTGACTCTTATAGACTGGTGGAAACAGCATCGAGACCCATGCAGGTGTCTTGAGTGCTAAAACTCTTTCAAACCCATTTTAACATTTTATTATTTTGATGCTGCAGTTTGCTTACATAATGGTAGGAACTTAATATCTCATTTCTCATTATTCTTTCCGATTTTTTCCCCCATTGGCTATTTTCCTACCCTGGACTGATCATACGCGCTGTCAAGTGACCTTTGAACAATTCTAGCCGGCTTGAGGTTTGCCAAGTGACGGATGTTCCCTCGTGTTTAAAAATGCTGTACTAGGTAAACTGCTTTTAGAAGAGCAGAGTTCCGCCAGCCACGCTCAATTAAATTACAGTAAGGGGAGAGAACCAAACGCTAGTTCTGTAATCTTGCCGATACCAATTTTGCAAGTTGGTGGTTGATTCGTACGTAATACGTAAGTCTTTTTGACCAAAGGAAGCCCGCCTCTCCGTAGCAAAGTCGTCATTGGATAAAATGACTGTCAATCACCAGGGGTATAAATACAGGAGGCTGTCGGTTCTTCACTCAGGAAGGCCAGGAGCGCGCGGCGTTCTTTGAGTCCGGAGGCGCTAGTTGGGTCGGAGAGAATCTCTGCGGTAATATCTGACAGTTACTCGCTATTAACTGGAGTAGAGAATAAAAGGAGCCTCGCCTCTTTTCCCTTCCCTGCCAGGCAGGCGTGATGGCAGGAACTGCGGCGACGGGCGCCAGCGGGGAGGCGATGGCGGCGGCGACAGAAGGCTCCGCGGGTCCGGCGGGCTTATCTCTGGGTCGGGGCTTCTCGAGCTACCGGCCCTTCGAGCCCCAGGCGTTGGGCCTCAGCCCGAGCTGGCGGCTGACGGGCTTCTCCGGCATGAAGGGCTGAGGTTGCAAGGTCCCCCAGGAGACTCTGCTCAAACTCCTGGAGGGACTGACGCGGCCGGACGAGCGGCACCCGCTGGGCCGGGGCCTGGTCGGAGGCCACGAAGAGGCGGCCCAGGAAGCCAGCCTGCCGGTCAGGGCGGAATCCAGCCCAACCTTTCCAGCCCTGGGCATTGGGATGGACTCCTGCGTCATACCCCTGAGACACGGAGGCTTGTCACTGGTGCAGACCACGGACTTCTTTTACCCCTTGGTAGAAGATCCCTACATGATGGGGCGCATAGCTTGTGCCAACGTGCTAAGTGACCTCTATGCCATGGGCATTACTGAATGTGACAACATGTTGATGTTACTCGGCATCAGCCAGAATATGACTGAAGAGGAACGAGAAAAGATAACCCCAATGATGATCAGAGGCTTCCGGGATGCTGCTGAGGAGGGAGGGACTGCAGTGACTGGTGGACAAACCGTGGTAAACCCTTGGATTATCGTGGGTGGGGTTGCCACTGTGGTGTGTCAGCCAAATGAATTCATAATGCCTGACAGTGCAGTTGTTGGGGATGTGCTCGTGTTAACCAAACCCTTAGGAACCCAAGTTGCTGTTAATGCCCACCAATGGCTAGATAATCCTGAAAGATGGAATAAGATAAAGATGGTGGTCTCCAGAGAAGAGGTAGAGCTGGCCTATCAGGAAGCCATGTTCAATATGGCTACCCTAAACAGAACTGCTGCTGGGTTAATGCACACATTTAATGCCCATGCAGCCACAGATATCACAGGCTTTGGCATTCTAGGACACTCCCAAAACCTTGCAAAACAACAAAGAAATGAGGTGTCCTTCGTCATTCATAATCTGCCAATCATTGCCAAGATGGTTGCCATCAGCAAGGCCAGTGGGCGGTTTGGGCTCCTTCAAGGAACCTCAGCAGAAACTTCTGGGGGATTACTGATTTGTTTGCCAAGGGAACAGGCGGCTCGCTTTTGTTCTGAAATCAAATCTTCCAAGTATGGAGAGGGACACCAAGCATGGATCGTCGGCATTGTGGAAAAGGGAAACCGGACTGCCCGGATCATTGACAAGCCTCGAGTTATTGAGGTCGTACCTCGTGGGGCCACTGCTGCTGCTCTTGCTCCGGACAATTCCAGTGCCTCCTCTGAATCTAGCTTGTGAGATGGAATAGCAGAAGTTGTCTGGACCTTAGAGCCTTTGAACACAATCATGAATGATTCTCAAGAGTTAATTTTAAGAAGGAATTTCCAAAGAAGGCTACCTGCATAGTAGTTCCACAGTTGCCCTTTCTAGGTAATTTGAATCAGCCCATCATAAGCTGCACATTCCAAGACCAGAAGTAATATTTGGACTTTGGCGTGTTTGTGTGGGGGGGTGGTTGTTCAACTCTTGCATAAAAAAGCAGAAAAATCTCTTTCCTCTTTCCAATGGCAAATGAAGCTATTCTGGTTTGAGAGATTTTTCTTGGCACTGGGTTGATTAATTTGCACAGGGAGTGAGACTGTATGTTAAAATTACATACATACCAAAAAAAGTAAATTGTAAAAAAAAAAAAAACTTAGAAGCAAACAAATTTGGACCAATACTGTTGATAAATATAAATTGTTAAAAAAAGATCTTATGATACAATGCCAAATTCTTTACTAGATTTTTCTGAAATACTGTCTCTTTCCTGCTCTGGACAAGAATTGAGCAGCTTGTCCAATGACTGGGAAAGGAGGACGGCAACCATCTGCCTTGGTCTCTGTTAATGATGTCTCTCCCTCTAAACCCCTTTAAGGACTGGGAGAGGCAGAGCAAGTCTCAGAGTCCAGGCCTTGATGGTCATTAAGATGTTAAATCTTGTGCTGAAAATTCCTGGTGATTTAATAAAGTAATTTCTAGTGAAATAAATAAAAAGGACTTTGTTGAAAATTTTTCTGGCTGATGTTTGGATCCTTGGAATTCTGAATCTTTTATGGTCTTATAAAATGAGTCAATTGATACATTAAGAGTCTGGCAAAGTAGAGAGTTTCCTTGTGTTTTCTCTGGTCCTGGACTAGGGGATTTAACACCCAGATTTAGGTTTGCGCTTTCCCCATGAGTTGACAGCAAAGGACTCAAAACAGAAACACCAAGGACTAGAGGGTGGGAGAGGAAATAGCAAGAGGTTTCAATAGTTCTTAGAAAATGAAAAGTAGGTGGAAAAGGGGTAACTGACTTAGCAGAATAGAGGAAGCCAAAGTGTAAATGCCTTCAGAGTTGGGGAATAATAACAGGAAGCAAGGAGATATGTTCCAGAGGTACTAAAGAAGGTCGGGTCAAGGATAAAAACAGAGATACTGGTTGAAATTTTATTCACAGGGTAATCAGATCTTCAGAGTTCTCGAATTTCTCCCCCATTCACACAGCCAGATGACTGCCCCTCACCTTGAAGTAGAGGGAGGTTTATTTTCTGAAAAATGTGAAATAAATACTGCAAAATCAGGGACACCAGACATAGCAGAGGGGGCATGACCCAAAACAGAAGAATAGATTGAAAACTGAAGCCCCAGTCCACTTCCTCAGTTTTTGAAAATATTGTCCAGGAAGCTTACATTACTACTCCTGGAGAAAATGAACAAGCACAGAAAAAAGACCTATAAATACAAATATTTAAAGATCCCCTAGTCAAAAATCCCTGTACCAGGAAGCCTCCCAGTTGAAAAGCTTCTCTCAAGTACATTCTTTTTAATGCTTCATTCTTGAATATGAGCAGTCAAGGATTGCCAGATATTTGTGGCAAGCCTCCAGTTTGAAGGAAGTCAAAGCAAACAGAAAAACTCAGGAAAGGGAAAATACAGGGAGAAGAAAAAAAGGCAGAGATAAAAGAAGATAAAGTATCTATAAAAAGATAATAAGAACAAAGTACTTAGAAAAATATAGCTAAAATTTAAAAATTCAGTAGAAGACTTAGAAGATAAAATTGAGGAAATTTATCAGAAAGTAGAACTAAAATAAAATGCACAGTAATAGAAAAAAATGTATGAAAATCAGAGGTGAGCCAGGAAGTTCAATTATCAAAGAATTATCAAAGAAAATTATCAAAGAATAATAGAAAGTTTTCTAAAACTTAAAGTGTGTCACATACCTTTTGAATTTCCAGCATAATGAGTGAAGGAAAGGCACCAATTTTATTAAATTTTAAAATGCCAGGGATAAAGAGATCCTAATAATAATAGCAAATGTTTATGTAGTGCATACTCTTTGCCAGGCACTGTTCCAAGTGTTTTATATGTATTAACTCATTTAAACTTCCAACAACCCCATTTTGTAAATGAGGAAGCTGAGGTGCAGAGAGATTAAGAAATTTGTCCAAGGTTACACAGCCAGTCTTCTAGGCAGTCTGACTCCAAAGTCTATGCTTCTAATCACTATGCTCTCCTAAAATCTGGGGAAAAAGGAAGATCACATACAAAGGTTTGGGGATAAGAATGGTATCAGACAACTCAATAGCGAATTGGAAGCTAAAAGCCAATAAAAGAATACCTTCAAAATTCTGAGGGTAAATGATTTTCTGTATAATTTTATACCTAGCCACGTTTTTCAAACATGTAGAATAGAGATACTTTTAGATATGCGAGGTATTGAAGTGGTTTCATCCCATGCACACTTTCTCAAGAAACTACTGGAAGATGTGCTCCAGCAAAACAAGGGATTAAACCAAGAAAGAAAAAAACATGGGATTCAGGAAAATCCGGCCCAGGAAAGAGGTGAAAGGAAGTATCAAGGTACAGCAAGCCTGGAGAGAAACAGTCCATGCAAGAACAGGAGACTGGCAGGTTTCCAGAAAAAGGAAAATAGAACTGACATGGTTATTGATGCATTTAATTTTGTGAAAAATTATACTGGAAGGTTAATGGAAGATGTAAAAAGAATTAATAATAATCATATAAAAACAAGTGAGTCCTAGAGCAAATGAGACCTGAAACATCACTGGAGGCAAAAATGACAAAACTGAAGCTGTCCTACTGTGGGCACATCATGAGAAGGGTTCTTTGGAAAAGAAAATAATTCTGGGAAAAAATAGAAAGCAGCAGGAAAAGAGGAAGACCAAATATGAGATGGATTGACTCCATAAAAGAAGACATAGGCATGGGTCTACAGGAGCTTAGCAGGTCTGTTGAGGACAGGACATTGTGGGCATCACTCATTCATGCCAGGAGTTGGAGCCGACTCAATGGCACATAACAACAATGTAGAAAACTAGCAAATGAAAAAAAAATGAGGCAGTTAGTTACCAACTCCAGCCAAAAATAAAATCTTGTATAACAAGTGAAATGCAATCATATATAGTATTCAGCAATAAATTTTTACATAGTTAATAATGTAAATACTAACAAAAAAAAGTTAATCACTTTTTCTGCTCAAAGCTCTTAAATAGCTTTCCATAAAATTCCTGCTACATAGCTCTAACTTTATCTCATGGCTCCCTATACCTCTCACTCAACTCTAGCCCATTAGTCTTTTCATGGTGCTTCAAACAAATTAAGATCCTTTGTGCCTGCAGTTCCCCCCATCTGGAACCTTACTTCAGGCTCTCTACCTAGCTTACTCACTCTCAGTCCTGGCTCAGCTCAAATTAAACCTCCTCATAAAAGCTCTCTCTGACCTCAGCCAACACCTAGCTACTCTCCGTATTTACTAGCTTCATAGCTCTTATCCTAATATGTAATTGTCTTGACAACTTATTGGTTTACTTTATAATTGTCTCTCTCTGCTAGCATGTAAGCTCCAAGATGGCAGAATATATTGAGTGAGTGAGTGAGTGAGTGAGTGAGTGAGTGAGTGAGTGAGTGAGTGAAGTATACATTGGGGACCCTAGCACCCTCTATATTCACACTTTCCTTGCTCTTGTTGTCTCCTAGGGTGACAGCTGGTACCACCAATTTCTTTAGACAAGGCTTTGAAGAAGAAATTTGGGCTTTGGTCCTGGTTGTCCATTTACACAACTTTCTACTTGGCTCATTTTCTAACTTGGGGTGGGGAGGAAAATGGCTGGATACTTTCCTGTCCTGGGCCCTCTTAGTTAACCTAGAAAGGTTTAGGGGTTGAGAGCAAGGCAGGCATGCAACTTTTCTTTGAGGACAGGCTGGGCAGCAAAACAGAGGTAACAAGTAGTGGAGGTGACAGGGCCTTGGGTAGAAATTAGAACAGAATCACTGGTACAGAGGTAAGGAAGGTGACAGAAGCCAAGGAAGAAAAGAAAAAAGGGAGGAAGTCGAAGTTTGAGGAAGAGAAAGAGGAAGATGGAGCGAAAGGACAGAAGGGCAGAAGGAAAGGCAGTGACAAGGTGATCTCAGCACACGCCAATCACACGTGAGCAGCCTCCCTGCGGTAGGTAGGAAGACTTCTTTCACTTGCTGAGGAGCAATGAGGAGTGCTGATGAGCTTCAGCCTATGTCTTTCTGGAAGATCTCAGACAAGTCTCTGGGCCTTAGTTTCCTCATTTGTAAAATAGGCGCAGCCATACCCACCTATGGTAAGGAAGTCATGGAGAGGATCCCATAAGACACAATCCTATAAATTAGTATTTATTTGATTACTCAAGTGCCAGGCCCCAGGGAAACAAAAGCCTGACACTGCCTCTGTTCTCCAAGAGACACAGTCCAGGGGAAGATCTAGAACAGGGACACCAGTCACCCCCAAATTAAGATGAAAAGTGGTAAGTACCCTGAGAGCTAGAGTGGATGGAGTACTATAGAAAACCAAGTTATTTCCTTTTGGAGAAAGTTCAGGAAGGCTTCCCAGAGGAGGTGTCTTTGAAGCAGGGCTCTACAGGATGGGTGGAATTTGGATTTGGATATGCAGAGGATGTGGATAGGCATTCCAGATGGAACTGTGAGAGCAAAGGAAGGAAGGGCATAGGGAATATCTCTCTGGATTTCAGCATATGTGTAGGGAGATAGGGCTGAATAAGTAAATTGAGGAATGACTTCTAAGAGTGTTGGGGACTCCTCGTCCTGAATGGGCTAAGCAAGAGATTCCCAAAAGCCTGTCATGACTCCCCCTGAAACATTTAATAAGAATAAATATTTTTATTTATAGCAACACCCTTATCCCATGCCCCAGTTCAAAACCAACAAGACCTATACTCTACCTCCAATAAGAACGGCGCTGTGAATAAGTTGAAGATACAACTGTGAACAAAATACATATTGTCCTGGTCCTCTCAGCACACACATGAAGGTTTCTTGAAGGCCACCATTATACAGATAGGAAACTGAGGTTCAAAGAAGAGAACCAATCTTCCCAAGGGCATTGGTGGTGGGGTCCTAATCACCTGACTCTTAGTTTTCCATCACACTCTGTTGCCTCTGAGATCTCTGACTGGCCCGATTCCCCCACTCCAACACCACACACACAGCTTTTTTGTTTTCCAGCTGCTGCCAGCTCTTCCACTCCAGGGTTTCCCAAAGAGCCTTACTGGGAGCAGCTGCATGGCTTGGCTCCAGTGGAGAAAGTGGCCAAATTCTTTTGAGTAGCAGAATGGCATGTATGTGCATGAGCATGTTTGCCTGTCCCAGCCTGTCCATTCTGCTATTAAACATTTATTAGCCAGCACTGGGGAAAGACCTTTAATTTGAAAATATTAGGGTACCCAATCTCTGGGGGAGGATAGCCTTATAAAGAGCCAATCACAACATGGACCAAAAGGTAAGACCAAGCACACTAAGGCCCTGACCAAAGGGAGGTCAGGTTGCCTAGATGTGTCTGAGAAGAATGAAGAAAACAGACTGGATGTGGGGGTGAGGGTTCAGAAAGAGCCTGGGATAAGGAGTCCAGATGATAGGGCCAATCTTATGTTCAGGTCTGTTTCCTTTCCCTCATGAGGGCCTCTCTTGCCCCCACCAACTCTGAGCTGGGCTGGAGCTAGGTTTCGTTGGTCTTCAGAAGATGATGCTGTGGAGCAAAGAACTTGGATGGCCCTGTAGGATGCTTCACAAGAGCCTTACAGCCCATCCAGGTAACTCCTGGGAGGAGGGCAGAAGCAGTCTCAGAGAGACTGCCTCCTCCTTTCTGTTAATCTCCAACGACCATCTGACCTGTGAGCTCTAGAAGTCCCGGTCCCTAACTCTTCAAAAATCTGAGATGCAGAGGCCTCCAGGAAAAGCTGCTCTCCAAATGTGTTTTATATTTCAGTAAAAAAGTTTGGGTTCTTGTCTGGAAAAGTTTAGCAAACACCAAGGAAGGTGCTAGGGGAGGTACCTGACTCCTGAAACTTTCACTTCCCAGATCCATAAAACAGCTCAATGCTCTGAATTTCAGGCCTGTATGTCCACCTGCCTGCTGGACATCATCTGGATGTCGTAGGGCCCTATTAGACTCCAAGTGTCCCAAACTAAATTCATTTTCTTCCTTCTCACCCCAACTCTTCGGTCTTCTGTGTCTTCTTTTCTGAAAATGGCAAAACTATCCATCCATTTACTCAAGCCAGAAACCCAGGAGTTACCCAGGACCCCATCTTTTTTTCTCCATTCTCCATATCCAACTTCCATGTTGCCTAACCCAACGGTATATTCTGTGCTCTCATCTTACCCAGTAGCTCTGCAGCATCAAAAATCATGTTTACTCATTCTGGACCACTCTGATCTCTTAGCCTCCATGACAGCACACTCTGTCAATTTTCTTCCCGCCTCTTCTCCTCTGCTGAACTGCTAAATGTTGGAGTACCCCAAATCATGGTGTTGTCTACTTACATTCTTGTACGTTATTCTTCTCCAATTCCATGACTTTAAGTACTATCTAAATGACTGAGACTACTAAATCTGAATCTCTAATTCCTCTAAAGCTTAGGCTCATAAATCCATGTGCCAACTTGACATGCATCTTCAACTTGCTTTGTCCTAAACCAAACTCCTGAAGTCACATGTGTTCAATCCTGCACCTCATCTTCTTCGTCCCAGCAGGGTTCATCATCAGTCTACCAAATTGCTCAACACTCATATCTGTAAGCCACACTTGATTCTACCCTTTCTCTCATGCCCCTAGTTCAAAACCAACAAAACCTACAGATCTACCTCCAAAAAATGTTCCCAATGTGTTTGCTTTTCTCCACCTTCACCCACCATCAACTTGGCCCAAGCCACCATCATCTCTTGGCTGGACAACTGCAGTAACTTATCTCCTTGCTTCTTTCTTTTGCAGGATTACAAACAAGAGCAGAATGCACTATTGTAAATAGACATTAATGAAGGCAGTCTGGTTTGATAGAAATATATCTTGCAGTCATTGTGTTGGGTTAAGCCATAGAACTTGCTAAAGTGATAGATATCCACTTTTCTGGCATGTAAACTTTATTTCCCCTCAAAATAAAAGAAATAAAATAAAATAAAAAAATAAAATAAAATAAAATAAAATCCAAAATAAAATAAAAAATAAAATAAAATTCATGGTTAATTGATCTGAATTGGCCTCTGTTTACTTCTCCAACACCACATCCAACCACTCTCCCCCTTGCTCACTACAATCCTGCCACACTAGAATTCTTTTGTCTTTAGAACATGATAAGCCTTTCTTGTTTTAAGCACTGGTATTTCCTCTACCTAGAACTCTGTTCCCCTTGATTTTTGCTCAGCTTAAATGTTACTTTCTCAAAGACAAGTAACAGAAAACCCAATAAAAGTGGCTTGACCAACAGATATATTAATTTACATAAATAGGATCCTAAATTAGACCATTTTTGGAACTTGTAAAAATATGTGGCCCAACAATGTCATCAAGAATCCAAGTCCTTTCTATCTTGCTATTACCCATTCCAGTTTGTGGGCTAGCTCTCTTCACAGTCCAATTCTCATATGACAACATCAAAGGTAGAAACGCACTGTCTTTTTTTTTTTCATACAGTGTCTTAAAAACAAAACAAACAAACAAACAACTAAGAACCTTTCCCAAGTCTCCAACAGACTTCTTTTAACTCCTCATTGTCAGGAACTAGGCCACATGCTCACTCATAAATCTATTAATGGAAGGGCAATGGGGCCACATGAAAATCATCTAGAGAAGGTGGCCCCAGAATAAATAAGTCACTGTTCTACAAAAATCGAGGAAGGGAAAGGGCAGTTGACTAGGTAACCAACAATTCTTACCACCTCTTCCCTGGACCATGCACTCTAAAGTTGCCCCCATTTTTCATGTTTAAATACTGTAACATTTAAAATTTGTTTTCATAGTACTTATCACTATTTGGGGCAATATAGTGTAGTGGATAGTAACACAAATTCTGAGGCCAAACTGCCGGGGCTTGAAACCCGGCCACCACTTCACTAGCTGAGACATTACTCAATGTCTCAGTTTCCTCATCTCTGAAGTGGAGATGATGGTGATGATGATGATGATGATGATAACGAAGAAGATGATGATATTACCTACCTCATAAGATTGTTGTGAGGATTAAATGAGTTGCTGTAAGGATTAAATATGAAAATGCTTAAAACAGCTGCCCTGGTTCCAGTTCATTCCTAAGGCCCGGCTGTATCCTGGAGACATTCTTGTATCCTTATAATAAATTCCCTTTTCTTGCTTAAACCCTCCTTTACTGAGGTTCTCTACGGAGCGCCCTTCCTTTCCCTGCCCCGTCATTTCGCTTTGCCGCCACCTGGCGCCTATAAGGGAAGTGACGCGCCTGCGCTGTCCCCGCTCTCTGCCCTTTGTCTCTTCCTCTGGTCGAATCTGGTACCTACACCTTTAAGGTGCTTAGCCAAGACTGAAGAATTCGAGGGCAGAGTCCTTAGAGCTCACGCTTGAAGCTCGCTCAGATTGATCCAGTCCAGCAAACTCCACATAAATAATTGGTCTTTCCTGCGGCTCCGCCCCGTGAAGCAACGAATTCACCTGTGATTGGTCAGGGGCTTTGTAGGCGGGCTCCGAGCTGAGCGCAGGGTTCTCCAGTGCAATCTGAACTGCAGCGTGGTGGGCGACATGTCGGAGGAGGGCGGGGAGAATCTTGAAAACACGGGGAGAGAGCGCACTAATGCTGCCGGCCCTTTCAGCTTCAGCCCGGAACCCACGCTTGAGGACATGTAAGCAATCCTTGCCCAATCTGGGCTGGGGAAATCGCCCCCTTTCTCCCTTTGTTGGAGAGGGTACCTTCACGTGGTCAGAAAGAAGGCTAGCAGCTCTGCTCGAGTCTCAGCTGCTGGCTGACCTGGGGAGAGCCTTCTAATTCATCTGCAAAATGGGATTAGCAGTGCACATCTGAGGCAGGGAAAATTGGAGAGGCCCGATGACTAATATTAGAACCAGCCCCGGGGAAGTACCGGGTCAGATGCTGCTACTACCTCCGCCCTCCCGGAGTGGGATGTAGGACGTAGGCAAAGGCAGTGAGAGGTGGGAGGCATTATTTCTTGCACGAAACGAAGGAAGGCTTCTTACGGGAAGTGCCCGTGGACCTGCAAGATCTCTGTAAGATCATGGAATTTAGATATGCAGAGATAGGGATTTACCAGGTGGAGGAAACTTCAGAATCAGCAGCAGGAGATGGAATAATGGAAATCTATTGTTAGATTTCCATAGAGTTTAGGGTCTATGTAAGGGTGTGCCTATTTTATAGTCCCATAGAGAAGACAGGACTTGTTTAAGGCCATCTAAGGAGTTAGTTGCAGAATGTCCTCTGATACCCATGCCCCCTTTACATATCACTGAGGTATCCGCCTGTGCTTCTTCCCCTATCCCCTAACCCTGGGCTTCCATGCCTTTCTCCTATTCCAGCCGCTGCCTCCATGCTAAGTTTGCTGCTGAAAGAGACTGGGACCAGTTCCACCGGCCTCGGAACCTCCTCCTGGCCTTGGTGGGGGAAGTGGGGGAGCTGGCAGAGCTCTTGTAAGTAGATGAGAGGCTTCCTGGAAGGGTCTGTGGGAGAGGGGTGGGAGGATTTATTTGATCATCAAATATCCATGGATTCAATTTTCCTTCCTCACTGCCAGGCTCTGTTCCTGGTACTGGGGATACAGAGATGACTCACCTTTCCTGCCCTCTAGGGGCACCCAGTCTCCTGGTAGAGAAAGGTGTGAAAACTGCAAGGCAGATCCAGGTCTTAGAAGGGGCAATGGTAACCTTCTTTTGCCTCTGCCTCCAGGGTGGAAAAGAAGGTATTTTATAGAAGACCTGCCTATGGCATTCCAGGCAGGGGAACTATATCCGCAGAGGTAGTGAGATGGGAAAGGGCAGGTTAAATTCAGAGAGAATCTGAGATTACTTCAGTGTAAGCTTCTCCAAGAAGAGCAAGGAGTTTGTATCTGTTTTATTCTCTGGTATGTTCCAAGTGCCTGGCACACAATTGACATTCAGTAGATATCTACTGAATGAGCGATAGGGCTGTGGAGGAGAGGGGTGGGATATGAACCCAGAATGATAAAATTGGAGTTAGGAAGCAATAGAGTTTGGACAGAAGACCTGACCAGATCTGAGGGGTAGAAAAAGCACAGTGTCTGCAGGGTGGATTGAATCACCAAAAGAATTAAGGCAGGGAGACCGTGAGGAGGCTAGTATAGATCAGGCAAAAGGTGGTGAAGCCTAAGCCAGGGAAGTCACTGTGGGGATGGAGAAATGAAGGCCAAAGAGATGTGTGTGGGTGCAAGCCATTTATTCATTACAGATTTGTGAGCATCAGGTATGTGCTCGGTCTTCTAGACTGATGAGGTATGGCCTTCAACGAGATAGACATGGTTCCTACCTTCACAGTGCAAGGAAACTGATAATAAATAAGCAAACTAATTTTAAAGATCAAGAATTGTGATAAATTCTATGAGGAAGATAACAAGGTGATGAGAAAGAAGATAAAAGGAGAAGGCTTTTCTGAGTAGGTAAAATCTGAGCTGAGACCTGAATAATAGGAAGGAGGCAGCTGAGGAAAAGGTCTGGGGGAAGTAGTGGGGAGAACATTCAAGGCAAAGGGAGCAGTAAGTGCAAAGGCCCCATGATGGTTTGGCCTGTTTGCAAGACAGAAAAGGCCAGAGTGACTTTTAGATGGGGAATTAGGGAGAACAGTGGATAATGACATTAGGAAGAGGTAGGAGTCAGCTCATGCAGAACCTGGAGGGCATGGTTGAAAGTTAAGATTTTATTCCAAACACAGCCAGAGGAGTTTTAGCAGGGAAGGGACAAAATGTAATTTGTGCTTTTGAAAGATGGTACTGGGCAAGAGTTAGCAGGCTTCCACAGTGGTCCAGGTCTGAGATTTAGCCTGGGATGGCAGTGGCTAGGGCTGGAGAGAAGTAGAATTGGGTCTTGACAAATGAAATGATGTCTTGGCCGCTGTGTGGCTCAGGAAAGGACACAAAGGTCTGGGAAAATCATCTGTTGGAGTCTCTTCCCTACCCTGACCCTACTCAGGGTCCAAATGCGTTGAGTTGTCCTTGGAGGAAGTTCCTAGGTGGTGGGAGTTCATTGCTGCAAGAACTGGGGTGCTGTGAAGGGCTTGTCCTAACATCTGTGTGTGTGCCTATCTGTGTGTTCTGTCCCCCAGTCAGTGGAAGCCCGATGAGGAGCCTGGCCCCCAGGCCTGGCCCCCCAAGGAACGGGCAGCTCTTCAGGAGGAGCTTAGTGATGTCCTCATCTACCTGGTTGCATTAGCAGCCCGCTGCCATGTGGATCTGCCCCAAGCAGTGCTCGCTAAGATGGACACCAACCAGCGACGCTACCCAGCACATCTGTCTCGTGGCTCTGCCCGCAAGTATACAGACCTGCTCCATGAGGCCACCTCTGAAGACCAGGCTATAGGGACTGCAGACCTTGCCTGTGAGTCCTCAGGCCCGACCTCAACATAGAAATATGGTGCTTGGTCCTCCAACTCAGCATGGCATCTGAGGAGCAAAGGATGGCCTGGCCACAGAACTTTATTTTAGTCCTTTCCTAACAGATCATTGGCCTGGGGACCCCATTTCCTGAGGTACACGGTTCAAGAACCTTTGGAAGACAGCCTTTTGGTATTTTTCTCTCAATAAAAGTTTTGTTTAGCAACTTCTGGATTCTTCCTGGGGTGGCCAGGGAGGCTCTGTCTCAGCAGGTGCTGGAGAAGAGCACCAGAGTTGCCTCTGGGCCCAACTCTCTTGTTTGTCTATTGTATGTCCCACCTGCAGGGCAGAGATCTCATTTCTAGTAGGTTCCCTTTCGATCTCAGGCAAGTTTCTTTCCCCTTCAGGGCCTCTAACAGATTGGAGGCTGTACATAGTGTTAAGTCCAGATTTTAGAGCCAGGCTACCTGGATTCAAATACCATCTTTGATACTTAAGAGCTAGCTGATGTTCATCAAATGACTTCACCTTTCTGCACCTTGGCTTCCTCATCTAAAATGAAAATAATGGTATCTACATGATAGGGTTGTAAGGTGTGAGATTTTCAAAGTACAGTGCTTAGGACAGTGCCTGGCACATAGTAGGTACTTTGTAAGTTTGCAATTATTACCTGTTTTTTCAACTCAAAACTTTCAGATGCCCAAAGCAGGAAATGTCAACAGTTAAGGCAGGACTGAGCCTTAGGACCCCAGCACAAACTGGGGTCAGGTCTCTGACGTGGAGCAGAACAGGGCTTCCACTCTTCTTGGGCTTGGGCCCCTTGCTTTCTCCCCTGCCCTCCCAAGGCCAATTTCTCATTACACCTCTAAAGACTGTTGGGTGCGAATGACTTACCCCGTTGTGTGACCTCAGGCACATCACTTCCTTTTCTGAGGTACCTGTGGCCTGCCTCCCTCATAGGGTGGGGTAACAGTAAAAAAGACCTTTAAATTACTTTTGCTGCCTCTCTGAGCATGTTTCCACATCAGTAAAATAAGGCATTCCCCTTTACTAGCCTCATTCCTCTTAGTGACCTTACTCCCTCTTAACCAGTGATCTTACTTCTCAGGCAAAATAATCCAGATTGGAACTGCTTCGGCTTTGTTCTCAAACCCACACTGCTTCTCTCTACCACTGATAGCTAGAGCCTTATCCTTACTGGTCTGATTTCATTCCCTCTCCTTGATCAACGATCTCTCCCTTCTATATAATCAACCTCTCTTCCTTTCCATTAGCCCTCCCACCAGCACATAAAACATAATTGAGTCTCCCTATAGACAAAACCAACGAATGTTCTCCTGCTACTTCCCTCATGGTTTTCACAGCCAAACCTCTCAAAAAGTGTTGTCTACACCCATCTACTCTTCTTCCTCATTCTCCCATTTAGACCCTAACCCACTCAGTGCTGGCTTCACCCCTACCACTCCACTAAAACTGCTCTCACCACTTTCCCCAAACTCCTACGAACACAATGGACACCAGAGCAGTATCTGACTGAGCTGACCAATCCGTCTGAAACACTTTCCTTTATATTTCCCAGACAAGACACTGCTGGTTTTCTTGAGCTCTGGCTGTTTTTTTCACAGATTCTTCGTGAGTACCTTCTTCTGGACATGGTATCATGCTCTCCAGACCTGATATCCCAAGCTGTCACTTCCAATCACCTCCCTGACCCTTCCACATTAATCTCACACTCAGCATGCCCGGATTGGGGTGTAAAAATTGCATGCAACTTCAGCTGTACTACTACTCATCCTGTGCCATCTCAGTGACACTACCTGCAGCTATCCAAGAAATGAAGTCTGCCCCATCTCTCCCTCATCCCGAGGTCCACTCTAACCCCTTAATATGTCTGATCCATTCCTCCCTTCTTATCCCTCAAAGCTTCTTTACTGCCTTGGATCCTTTCCCATGGCTTCTAAGGTCCCTAGTGATCTTATCTCCTGCCACCCTCCTTGATTTTTGTCCTTACTTTCCACACCAGGGGATGTCTGCAAGCTCTATCAAGTCACGTGCGATTTCAGGGTCTCTCTCTAAACTTTCCCTAACCCCATCTCTCTTAGCTTTGAAGACCAGGTTAAACTTAATCACCTCAAGAAGAACCTCTCTAAACTCCCAAGATTTCATTAAAGATCTAACCAACAACTTCCCCCATCATAGCTCCAATGACAATGGACTGTTTACTTGTTTGCTTTGCCATTCACTGGCTGTCAGTGCCTACTTACTCATCTGCAGAAATGGGAATAAGATTCACCTAAGTTTGGGCTATTGAGGATGAAAATGAACTAATGGCAGTAATAAACCACTTAAAGCCTTCAGCATAGTGCTATAGTTTGTACCGTTGCTTGTCTCTTCACTACATAGCTCCATGACGTTCGTGGCTGCTCAAGAAAGCTCTTGAGCTTTCAGAATACAGTGCCTGTTTGATCACAAACGTGCTATATTTATGGACTCTTCCAGATCTGTGGTTATGAGGACATAACCAAAGGCCGAATGTGGGATGACCTCACACACAAACCCAGTTCTAGTAATGCTTTTGGGCTTATAGCCCCACCTGTCTCCACGACAATTCACTGAAGTCACCTAAACCTGTGGAAAACCCCAACTTTCCTCCTCTCCCCACTCACCTCATTCACAGGCACGGGTGGGGTGAGGATATAATATTTTATTCACTAACACGAGCAGAGGGTTTGTAGTGAGGGGAAAGTGGGCACGGTATCCAGGGACCCTGGTAGGAGATCTGTCATGTCTCCCGGGTCCAGGGCAGCCACGCCTGCAATCCCACACCAGGGAGGCGAGGGTGGGGAGGAGTCGTCCGGATTAATGCAGCACCCTAGCGAGCCCTGCCCCATGTGGATGCTAGCACCCCACGGCAAGAACCGCGGCTCAGCTACCCTCGCACTCTGGGCAGCGTTCGGTGGCAGTGGTGGCCGTGGCACCAGAAGGTAGCTTGAAGTCCCGGCCACAGCCAGCGCAAATATAGAGACGGCGCCGCATGTGCGCGCGACGGTGGCGGATGAAGTGTGAACTGAGGCGGAAACGCCGGCCACATTCGGCGCACGGGTAGGGCCGCTCGCCCGTGTGCGTGCGCGCATGCTCCGCCAGGTTGGAGCGGTGACCGAAGCGGCGGCCGCATACGGCGCAGCGGTGCGGTTTCTCGCCCGTGTGCACGCGCCGGTGCTTGGCCAGCGCCGAGCTCTGCGCGAAGCGCGTGCCGCAGTCGGCGCATGCGTACGGCCGCTCGCCCGTGTGCGTGCGCCGGTGGCGCGCCAGGCACGAACTGCCGCCGAAGGCGCGTCCGCAGTCCGGGCACGCGTACGGCTTCTCGCCCGTGTGCACGCGCAGGTGCTGTGCGTAGTTGGAGCTTTGCGCGAATCGGCGGCCGCAGTGCGCGCATGCGTACGGCTTCTCGCCAGTGTGGCGCCGCCGGTGCTGCCGCAGGTTCGAGGCGGCCGAGAAGCGCTTGTCACACTCGGGGCACTCGTAGGGCCGCTCGCCGGTGTGCGTGCGGCCGTGTTTGGTCAGCGCCGACTTCTGCGAGAAGCGCCGGCCGCACTCGGTGCACGCAAAGGGCCGCTCACCCGTGTGCGTGCGCGCGTGCTTGGCCAGCGTGGAGCGGCGCGCAAAGGCGCGTCCGCAGTCCGGGCACGTGTGTGGGCGCGCCGGGTCTGCAGGCGGCGCTGGCGGCTCGCTCGGTACCTGCGGGGAAAGGGGGGAACAGGTCAGCCCTGACCCATAGGCCCGGGAGCCGGAGACCTGGGTCTCCGCAAGCTGCAACCTCTCAGTTCCCCATGTGTAAAACAGGAAAAGGGTACCTGCCTCATAGGCCGGCCGTGCGCATTAAATGAGATATTGCATTAACGCACATATCACAATGCCCAGTGTCATTCTATTCTTTATTAATTCAACAAATATTTATTAAAGGCGTACAGTGTGCCAGACTCTGCTCTAGGCACTAGGTATTCAGCATTAAATTTTTTAAATTTCAGTTTTCAGGAAGAATGGATAAGGAGTGCTGGGATCAAGGGGATCCTGCAAATTCAAATAAGGTTAAGAAACCTAACATGTTACATGAGCAAAGACCTAAAGGTGAGAAAGCCAGCTACAAACAGCAAGACCCGTTAAATTCCAGGAATGGCAAGAAAAAGGGCCAAGGGCAGAATGCATGAGGGGGAGAGTAAATGAAGGGGTGATCCTGAAGGGGATCTCTTAGCTTAGGGCCTTGTAATATAAAAAGCATGGGAACCATTAGAGGAGATGTTAGATGGTTTTGAGCAGCTAAGTGACCAGACTCATTTTAAAAGACTCCATCAGGTTGCTAAGTTGGAAGAGGGGAAAGGGCAAAAGCAGGAGCCCCGGGAGGAGGCTACTGTACTGCAGTACTGACAAGAGAAGACTAGATCAGACCAAGTGACAGGTGGAAAGTAAAGGTGGTGAGAAGTGGTCTGCTTCTGGATATACTTTGCCATTTGAGACAACAGATTTAATAAATGTTAGACATAACGTGGAAAGAAAGAGAGGAGTCAAAATTATTCCCAAGTATTCTGAGTTTAGCAACTGCAAAGGTATTACCATCTGCAAAGATGAAGATGGTGGGAAGAGCAAGTTTGGTAAGTGAGATCTGTTTCAGATCACATCTCCAATCCTCCTTGACACTTCTGGAGCTCAGGAGAGAGGCCTAATCTGGAGATGTTAATTGGTAAACTGTCAGCCTATAGATGGTTTTTAAAGCCTTGAGCCTGGTCAAGATTACCCAGGGAATGGGCAGAGAGAGCCTGGGGCAGCATGATGAGAAGCAGCAGATAAGAGAGGATAGTGTCTTAGAAGCTAGGCCAGGACCAAGTCCACGCTCTTTAATAAATTTTTAAGATCAAGCACTTATCATTTATTAAACTGAAGAAGATGACAAGGGTAAAACCCAAATACTATTCTGAGGCCTGAACTGAAAAATGAGCTGGTTTCATGAGGTCTAGGCTTCCAAAAGTAAAATCAGAAAAATAAATGCTTTGTAAGAAATGAGTGAAGGGAAAATTTTGTATTAACAGTATTAACATTTTGTATAATTGTATCAACATTTTGTACTAAAGGTAGAATGAAGAGGCATATTGAGGGCACATTGCTCTCTTCTTAGAAAAGGCTCATCCCAACAAAAGTGATGTTGAGTATCTACTGTGGGCCAAGCAATTAGGTATATTAATTCATAACCAAATGAAATACCTGGCACATATTAAGAGCAAGACAGTGTTAGCTTCTCCCCATATTCATCTCCACAAAATAGTTATCACAGTCTTATTTTATAGATAAGGAAACAGGTTAAGAGAGGGTAGGTGACAGCTAGCAAGCAGTAAGGCCTTTACTTTCTTAAATTGCAAGGAAGGCAACTTCAGGGCCTTGGAGATGCTTGTAAAAAGACAGTAACTTTTTGGTAACCAGCTCAGAAACTGGAACACAAGGCAGTTTGGGAAATTAGTGACCAGTCAAGGGAACACTGGTTTAAACAGTATCTATAATGATAATAGTGATACCAATATTACAGTGTAAAGCTTTGACAATGCTATTTTATGTACATTATTGTATTAAATCTTCCTGTCACTCCCCTGAAAATCAAGACTCAGATTAAATTCACGTAGCCAGTGAGAATCAGGATCCTTCGCCAACAGGCTACACTGCTTTTCTGCACTTGCACAGCCAAGATGTGACAGAGGCTGGATTCCAAGTCTCTGGCACTCTCCAAGAGGGATTCAAGGTTAAAATACATCTTGATACTTTAAATCAAGAAACTCCTCATAGTCGGTTTGGCACAGTCTGAATTCAAGGTCACAATTTCCAGTCTTGCCCTGCTTTTGATATCTATTGGGTTTATTTCAACATGTTGGCCATTGTGCAGAGAACTTTTCTTATTATATCTACATTTTTCTAGCCCTTTTTTCTTTGGTGTCATTTTTTAAGATGACTTTGACCAACTTGAAGATTTCCTTATGCTGAGTTCACTGACTTATGAAAAAGAAATTCTTCACATAAGTACTCTTGGCATCTCCAGCTCCAGGAGGAGGGGCTTTGGGTGCCCCAGGAAAAATCTTGGTAAGAGGGGCCAGGTCTAGCTCATTAAGACCCTAGGCAAGTCACTACCTTCCTGGCCTGAGTGAACCAAGGAAGGTGAGGTAGGCTAGGTAAGATAAAAAATTTCCCAACTTAAGGTATGTACATCACAGATACAAGAGGATTCTAAGTGTTACAGAGGCACACTTTTATCTCATAATCATTATGTATTTATTTTCACGAATATTAGAAAAACAATGGATCACACGAAACCCACAATTTCATCAATATTATTGTTTGGATGAAGGTAGATTTATTTAATGAAACTGTGAATCTATCTGAAGAGCATTAAATAAATGCACAGCTGGTGAGTGATATAAATGTAACTGAAGCTTGATAAATACCAGACTAGGTAGTCATCCAAGGCCCTTACATGTCTTAAATTCTACGATTAGATTTAAAAATTAGAATGGTATTTGCACTATAACAAGAGGGTACTATAGAAATACTATGTAGAATAGCAATGTGATAATCCAAGTATTTGAAGTTAATGATTTTGTCTTCCTGCTTAAGTGGTTTTTTTTCCTTTAACCAGGGCAAACTTCCCAGTTTCCTCCTCAGCCATTACTTTTCTAATTTATAATAATAGTTACTATTTATTGAGCACTCACTATGTTCCCGGGGCTGTGCTAAGTGCTTTTCATCCTCATTTTAAATTCTCACAACCCTTTAGGTTAGGTATCATTAGCTCCATTTTATAAATAAGGAAATAAGACTCAGAAGGAAAGTGACTACTCAAGGCCTTACAGCTAATCAATGGTAGAACCAAGGTCTAAATGGAAAGTCTGTCATTGTCCGAAACACCTGTTCTCTTAGCCATGATGCAATTCCATCTCACTGACGAGTATGAGGTCACCTACACAGCTTATCTCCCTCCCTTGAACTCTTTTCTTTTGGGTAAAATACTCTTTTACAAAGGGTAAAATACAATCCCTATCCTCTAGCTCCTTGCTACAGGAAGTGTGGTCCACAAATCAGCAACATCAGCATCACTGGAAACTTGTTAGCATCTCAAGTCCCACTCCAGACCTACTGAAACAAAATGTTCACTTTAACGAGATCCCCAAGTGATCTGTATGCATGTTAAAAATTAAGAAACTTGATCCAGAAGAGAGAAGAGCAACACCTGGAGAAAGCAGGTGGGAAAGGTGAAGAGGGTTTTACAGGCTGAAAGACCACATGGGCAAAGTCTTAGAGGTGAGTAAGGGTCAGGTGTGTTTGAAGCTGGGGCATGAGATGGGTGTTGGGTAGTTAGAGATGAAGCGAGGACATGAGGTCAGATGGTGAAGAGCTTTGAATGCCAGGCTTAGGACCTGAGATTTTATCCTGAGGAAAAAAGAAAATCACTCAAAGGTTTAAACAGAGATAGGATTGGATGTGCATAGAGCCCTCTGAGAAAATCATTCTATTCATTAAAGAGATTGTATTTTGATAGACAGTGAGAGAATGCTTCAGTCTCTGAGTGCAGCATAATTAAGGCTTATTCTAGACAATGACTGGCCTTAGACTGGTGGTAGCTATGATTCGCAGAATATCAGCACTGGAAGGTATTGAGATCACCATTTCATAGAAGCTGAGACTCAGGCCACACAGCAAGTTAATGAGCTATCTTGTGGGCACAGTACTGTTTATGGAACATATATGTGTAATCCTCATTTCCACCCTCCTCCTTCAAATCTAGTCACTCAGATGATACTCAGACTGGCTTTCAAGAATCTTACTTTCATTATCTCATTTTACAGATGAGAAAGCCAAGGCAAAAGTAGTAAATGGTAGAGTTAGGATTTGATCCAATGCTTTTAGCAGCTACAAACCATTTAGAGTCTAGCCCTACATACCTTTCGTGACCAGCTATGCCCATCCTTCACCTTCCCATCCTTAGCTCCAGCCAATCCAATCAAAGTTCTCAAATATCCCCTTCTTTCCGTCTTTTCTCCACTGCTGCCACTACCTTAGAGGAGGCTAGCAGCCTTACATAGCCTGGTCGTTCCACAACAGCCAATGACTCTTCTAAAGAGAAAATCCAATGTCCTTCCTCTGATTTGAGGCTTCTGATGGCACCACATAACCTCACATAGTATGTCCCAATTCCCACGCTGGCTTTCAGCACCTTTAACTCTCTGGCCCTACCTACCCTGGCCTCATCTCCTCTGGGCCTTTGCTTTTGCTGTTTCTTTTCCTCCTCCATTTGCCAAATCCCCACTAAGCCTTCTCCATGAAGCCTTCCCCACTGCCTTGAGTTGTTTGCCCTCAATCCTCTGTTTAGGCCCCCATGTTGATTTCCTCATTCACTCTCAGCCCCAGGGTTCAGCCCAGAAAGGCCTTTGATTAAAATGAGTTAAAAATCTCCAGAAGGATGACCTAGACCAATGTCCTGAACTTTAGGGAGAAGAATGAATAATAGCAGCAAATATTTACACAGTGTTTATTATATGCCATACAGTTCTAACTCTTTACATGTATCAACTCATTTAATCCTCACAACTCCAAAAAATAGGTGCTGTTAGGCTTTCCCTTTTACAAATGTGAAAACTGAAGCACAAAGAGGTTCAGAAACTTGCCCAAGGTCACACAGCTGGTATGTGTTGCAGGTGGAAGTCCACCCTAAGTTCTGGAGTCTGAGTTCTTTACTTATAGGCCAAAGTGGGAGATCAAGGCCAGATCCACAGGGCAGACTAAGCTAGGAGGATGGGCCAAGGAGGCCTAAAAAAATCAGAACTAGTTATTTCAACTGGAAGAAGAGGCCCAAGCAGCCAGCCCCCTCCCCCTAGGGCCCACCACACCCACTAGGGGGCAGCAGAACTTTCTTTCCCTGAGAACTGGCCCCTGTGCAGGAAGAAATCAGAGCCTGGGCCCAGAAACATGGCAGAGTCAGCTGGACTCAGGGCTGCACTGGCTGGAGGTGGGAGTCCCGCAGGGTTCTGGAAAGTAGAACTATGCCTGGTGGCAGTTAGGGTCTCAGATGGGGAATCTAACTCATTCTGATCTTCTTAAAACTCCTCTCTTTAAATCTTCATCACCCTCAGGATAAAGCCCAAGTGCCCTACCTGGCCTGCCAACCACCCTACTCTCATCCATGCTACAGCATGACTGACCCACCTGCCCTCACTTCTCCCAGTGCCCATTCACTCCCTCTGAGCCATTCCTTCTGCATGGAGTAGTCACCCACATCACCCCTCACTCTCACTGGTCTCAGAAAAGCCATCCCTTTACTAACTTTGAGACCTTGGGCCAGTCATCAAATTGTACAGTTTCCTGGACCTGTTTCCTCACCCATAAAATGGAAAAAACTACTACTTACCTTATAGAATTGAGGTGCTTAAAACAGTGTCTGGAGAATAGTAAATGCTACCAAGAGTCAGCTGTTACTGTTGTGGTTGCCCAATCTGACCCCTCCCCCAGCTCTAAGTCTGCATTAAGTTCCTAGCTCTGGGCTTCCACCCTGCCCCCCATCAAATAGGACTGTTGCTGTATGCTTACTTGGCAGTGTAACACTGCTAGACATCAAGCTTCATGGGGAACCAAGAATACCATTTATTCTTTAGCTCCCAGCACAAAGCCTGGCACAGTAGGCATGACATTTATTTGATGGCAGCCTGGGCGGTGGGGCAGAAGGATGGGTGGCTAATTCGTGATTCTGGGTCTGAGATTCAGGAAAAAGTAGGGGCAGGATCCCTGGCTTCTGCCTGGACCTGCACCAGGTTACGGGCAACGGGCCCCAGGGTGTGGGACACGTACCTCCTTGTTGTCCATGGGGATCTTGAGTTTCACCACCTCATACTTCTCCTCACCCTCATCCTCCTCACTCTTCACCAGCAGCACCATCTCCTCTTGCATCTCCTCCTCCTCCTCCTCCTCTGTCTGCTGTTCGCCAGGCATCTTGGTGTCCTGGGGCGGGCAGCTGGGTCAGAAGCTCAGGACCCGCCCCCCTCCGTGGCCTTGGCCCAGGCAAGGCAGCGCAGCCGTGACTTCTCTCGCCCTGCCCTGGCCTCTGGGTCTAACACGCTCCCCTCCACCCCAGCTCGGCCCTAGGCCCCAGCGCTGCTCCGAGACCAGCTCTGAAGACACTCGTTCACCCCACTCATCCCGGCATTCAAGGCCCTGATCTGTTCGAATCGCCAGTCCCAGCGAGTCGATACCCTCCCCGCGCTGAGTCACTCCCCGGCGCCTGGGTCGGCGGCCGGGAGATCCAGGGCACGGACTGGAGTTGGGATGCGGGCGGAGACCCTGGGGGGTGCGAACTCACCAGCTGCAGATTCCGCGCTGGCGCAAACCCAGGCCCGGGAGCCGGGCGGTCCCGCACTCTGCGAGGCCGCGGCTCGGGGGAGGGGCGGGGCCTCTGGGACGCCCATTCATTGGTCAGGACACATATGATAACCCCGCCCCCTAGGGGAGGTGTCCAGAGGACCCAGGCGTACGGCCCAAACTACCCGGGGAGGGTGGAGAGGGCAAAGCGGTCGTCTTCTGTTGTCCCCCAACTCCCAGGACCCCCGGCCGCCCCACCTCGACTTTCAAGGTCCTCACGGTCTGGTTGTGACCTACCTTCAAGGCTCGTCTCCTGTGGCGGGCTTGGAGGTCTCTGCTAAGGCCAAGCGTGCGCTCCCGCCCAGGCCTGGGCCTCTCGCTGGCGCCCCGCCTGGAAGGCGGACCCTGTTGCCTCCTCACCTCTTCCCTTCCCTCTTTTTCCTTCTTTCCTGTCTTTTTTACTTCTTTCATGGCGTCGCCTCTCTGGTCTCTTGGTCTCTGAAATATCTTGCGCCTTGAAAACACATTTCCCAAATCAACAGCCCTCCAAGCTACCGCTGCTTGTGTAGTGTGCCTACTATGCGCCAGCGTTATGCTAAGCGTTTTACACACCTGATCTCTTTTAAAATTAAATTTATTAGGGTAACACTGGTTAATAACATTACATAAATCTCAGGTGTACAACTTTATAGTATAACATCTATATACTTTATCGTGTGCTCACCACCCAAAGTCTAGTCTCCAAGGATAACGGTGTATTTGACTCCCTTTCCCCCTTTTCCCCTCCGCCGGCCTTCCCCCTGGTAACCAACCACCATCTGTTGTCTATAAGTTAGTTGATCTCTTTTGATCTACATAAAGGTTGGTCCATTTTACAGATGAGTTAATTGAAGTTCAGGGAGGTAAAGTGATTTGCCTAAGTTACACAGTAAGGGTCATTGTCATAGCATCCCTAACAACCAGTAGCCTAGGTAGAAAATTGGTAGCCTACAGGCCAAATCCACAGAAGTACCTTGTTTGACCCTCGGTGTTTTTACATCTAAAAAATAGATTAAAAAAAAAAAAAAACGATTCTTTACAAATTTTAATTTCAAGTACTTAAAAATTGGGATGTTTCCCACTTTAAAAGGTATCTAAGTTTCCCAGTTTATGAATGAGGCAACTAAGAATCAGAAATGATGAAAGAAAAGAGAAATAACAGTAAGTGCTTACAACCTCTACATTGTCTCTTTACAACAGCTCTGCAGGTATCAATAGTATTATCTCCCTTTGACAAACGATGGAACTAAAGCTTATCAAGCTTAAGTAATTTGCTCAAAGTCACATAGCTGGTAAGTAGATTCCAAAGCTCATGTTCTTTCTGTTGCACCAAATTATCTCTCAGAAATAAGGTTCCATGAGGAAATTGGTAGTAGAGCCAGGACTCAAACCTGAGCCTCAGCCTGCAGAGCCCAGGGCATAATTTGGATGTTGGGTTTGTATCTGGTCAAATTTTTGCTCTTACCCAGAGCTGAAATAAGGGAGCAAATGCCTGGATACTCACAGTTGAGATCCCCAAAGCCACTTTGATTGTGTTCATTCTCTCATCAAGTATTTATTGAGCCCTATTAAATGCCCCATTTTAGGTATTGGAGATGTAGTAGTTAACAAAACAGACAAAAATTTTGACTACTACGGATCTTCTAAGGGTGTAAAAAATTTAAACAAGTAAATAAATATACAAGATAATTTCAGATAATGATAGGTGCAAGAAGGAAATGGGGCAAGATGATCCAATAGGGAGTGGTATGGTTTGGGGGCTTCTTTAATGTGGGCAGGCAAGAGATCTCTGAGGAAATAATATTTGAAATGCCTTGAATGATGAGAAAATGTTAGCCATTAGAAACTCTGGAGGAAGAGTGTTCTATACAGATCTAGAGGCCTCAAGGTGGGAATAAGCTTATCATGTTCGAGAAACAGAAAGAAGGCTGTGTGACTGGAGCCAAGTGAGTTAGCAAGAGGAAATGTAGTATGGGAGATGGAGGAGAGGTAAGTAGGGACCAGATTATGGCTGGAACCCCAATTCAAAAGGCAAGGCCTGCTTGCCCTGATTCAGTCAGTGAAGAGACAGCTGGGAGTAAAGAAAGATCATACTGGAAGGGGCTTCTGCTGTGGGAGGACTTTGGAACAGATGCTTGCAAAAAGTGAACAAGGACTCCATCCATTTTCTACAAACATGTACAAGTACCTACCTAGACTTGGAGCTAGTTCCTGTTCTTTAGAATCTCATAGTCTAGTAAAGATTGTGATTTAAAAATACATATATAGGGAAAGGTGTTTTGGCAAGAGAATAGTGGAGTAAGTGAACAACTCCCTTAAAACGAGTGGATATTGGACACAGGCCTCACTGAGGAGATAAGAGGTTAAAGAGTGGGAGTGGGAGTGTGCCAGATTAACAAAATTTGTAGGATTGTAAACTCTTGTGAAGAGCACATCGTGGTCCAAGGATACTGTTCACAAAGTATTTAGTGAGGCCTATTGTGTGCCACGCTTCTTTTAGGACTGGGAGATAGAAAGTTGAATTTAGAGAAATCTTTATCTTACTCTTTACATTGCATTTCACTATTTGCCTTTGGCCCCACCAGAACTTCGGTTCTGGAATCCCCAAGGACTTGGTACAGACTCTTCACTCTGCCTAGATCTCCCATATGAGCCCGCATCTCTTCCTATCCTAGCTTATTTCGAGTCACCCTTTGCCACTTCTTTGGAGAGGCCTTTGGATCATGTAGGATATTCTCCTGCATGTATGCTTCCTTTCCTTATCACAGTTGAAATTATTTGTTCGATGTCTATATTCTGCATAGAAACTGATGGCAGAAACTTTGTCTTATTCATCCTTTTATCCCCAGTAACCGGCACACAGTGTAGGTAGTGCTGGTCAGTGACTAATTATCTTCTCAAAGAAGATAATTAGTGTGTTGTCAGTGTTAAGTGTTTGATGTGTTAAGTGCTCAGATCAAGGGGATTCTAACCCAGGCTGGAGTACCAGGGAAGGCTTTTGATTGAAGAGGTTAAAGAGTGTGTGTGTAGCAGGGGAACATTCTGAGTAAAGGAAACATTTAAAGCACAGGACTGAACCCACATGAATGGAAGGCTTGAATGCCAACTAAGGAGTTCTGTTTTACAGAGAAGACATGCAGAGATACTGCAGAGGTTTTAATTGGGAACTGACATGGTCAGATGTAATCTTACAAATTCACTACAGACAGACTACGAGGCCAATCTGGTAAAGAGGGAGACATGGGAAACAAGGGAGGATCTTCAGAAAGTGGATGCGTGTGTGTACACTTGAGGCCCAAAGTCTCCAAGAATCTCAGGCTTGAAAGCAAAACTGTTTCAAGTGGGTTTAACAACTTGGCAGGAGGTGGGAGGACCAGGAGGAACTGTAACAAGCTTTCATTGATTTCTAGGCAGGCCCAGCAGATGGTTAAGATCTCGGGATAGCATCTATCCAGAGAGCATTCCCCCAGACAGGTTAGCTGAGACACCCAATCCCTCAAAGTTGCAAATCAGTTTTATACTTCATTTCTTCAGTGGGTCAACTGCTCTAATCTTCTTGTCCCTGGCCAGTCAGGTTAGCTCCTCTTACCCTTCTCCCCATCAGCACCCTCCTTGGAAAAAGCTAGAAATTGAGATTCCACTAGCTTTTGGGGGTGGGGTTATAAAGAGGTATCCCCTTTGCCCTCTCTTGCACTGTGCAAATGACCTGTTTCTCAACAAGTAAAAAAGGGTCTTAGGGAAGGAGTTTCCTCAGGAGGCAGAGCATCAGTGTTGGGCCTTCTGTGCCTGTACCAGAGCTACACTTCTCCCTGTCGCCATAGCCACAGCACTCACTGAACTCCCCCACCCTGTGGCATCGCACGATTTTCCCTTTTAAGTCACACTGGATGGTGTGCCATAGATGGCACCTGTGTGCATCAAGACCTCAGGTCTGGGGATCAGTTGACAGACCAGGCGAGAAAGGGGCTGACTATGCCAACTTCTCTGACAGGTTCAGAGGGCAAGGGCCCCACACAAGTTTACACACTATTTGGAGTTTTTGCCTGTCGTGACCCTTTGACAACTTTTTCACCCCTGACCACACGCATACACACGTACACACGCACGCGCGCGCGCGCACACACACACACACAAGTCCAAGCCTCAGACAAGTAGCAGTTTATTGGCAAGGAGACACATGGTGATGTGGCTGTCGGGCCCTGGTGCTCCCCTGGCCTCTCCTCACGACAGTCCTGCCCTTTTCCCAGCCACTTTTTTCTCTGATGTCCACCAGAAAGACCTGGGCTTGGCATCTAGAGCAGAGGAATGCCCCTGCTCTCTGGTCCATCCTGCCAGTGTCCAGGTGTCAGGGTGGGTTGGGGTACTCCAGGGAAGATAGGTCTGAGCTCTGTCCAAGAGTGCCCTTCCTGGCTAAGACCGTGTCCAGTGGCCTGAGGCTGAGTACTGCCTGCCATAGAGCAAGACTCTCATCAGAATGATGATCAAGATGCCCCTAACTCTGTCATCCCAAATTCTAAAAGTCTGTTGCAGCTCATAAGGTCAAACAAACTCTGGTTCAGGGTGCTGGTCTCCCAGGGACAAGGTTGGGAAGGATCAATTCTTTACAGGTTAAGAGGCAGCAGGGATTTAGGGTTCTTTGAGTCCTCAGGCTAAGGCCAGTTTATTAATTCAACAAGTATTTATTCAGTGCCTACTGTGTACTAGGCAGTATTCTAGAAGCTGGGAGTATAGATCACACTGGCAAGGTCCTGACTAAGCCCAGCTGGGACAGTTTCCTGAGCTTCAAGGTCATTGTCTCCAATCACTATTCACTCCTTTCTCTCATTTCCTCCCCTCTTTTCCCTCCCACCAACTCCCAGGCCCTTTCTTCTCTGCTTAAGCAACAGATATCACCCCTTTGGTCTCCCGGCCCTCCACCCTCCCTGGACCCCATCATTCCAGTCCTGTTCGTGGTTCCTCCTTGAGTGGCCTTGCCATACCATCACCTGTCCCGAAGGGCCTCAAGACCAGGTGCCCACGCTGGTGCTTGATACGGGCAGAACTGTCACCAAAACCCTTGCCACACTCTGCACATTTGTATGGCTTCTCCCCAGTGTGTGTGCGCCTATGTTTAATCAGATCTGA